TGTGTGCTACTGTTTTATGAGAAACTATTTGTTCTGTAAGCCTTCACCTGAAGTACAATAAAATATATAAAAAAAAAAAAGAGTTCGTTGATAAATATTGGTCAAATCAATGAAGAGGAAATTAGTGGGAGGGAATCCTGATCCCAACTGGCACAGCCTTTGTAATGGTGACAAGGTGGCCCAGACTACTCAGAGCCAGGGAGCCCCAAGTGAATGGTGGAAGTCACATGGATATTGAGGATGGCGGAGTTGCCAGTGTTAACATGAGGATGTCTCTCCCCTGAAATGTCAGTGGGATATAAAAGTTGGGCATCGTTAAGATACATTCTAAATGCTTGAAGCAGGAAGGATAAGCTTGTTAAATACAGTCAACAATAGTATGGTAAAACAATAATCCTTAGTGTATATATTTTATACGTCCAGATTTTTTTTAATTGGATGTCATGTTTATGTCATTTACATTTCTTCATATTTTAGGTCCTCCTGGCCCCAGGGGTCCCAAAGGTGACAGAGGATCCCAGGGACCCCCTGGTCCGACTGGCAACAAAGGACAGAAAGGAGAGAAGGGGGAACCTGGTCCGCCAGGCCCAGCCGGTGAGAGAGGCCCAATTGGACCCGTCGGCCCCCCTGGAGAGCGCGGCGGGAAAGGCTCCAAAGGCTCACAGGGCCCCAAAGGGTCCCGCGGGTCCCCTGGGAAGCCCGGCCCTCAGGGCCCCAGTGGGGACCCAGGCCCCCCAGGCCCACCAGGCAAGGATGGACTCCCTGGCCCCCAGGGCCCTCCCGGCTTCCAGGGCCTGCAGGGCACCGTGGGGGAGCCTGGGGTGCCTGGACCCCGAGGGCCGCCAGGCTTGCCAGGGGTGCCTGGCCTGCCAGGCCCCAAAGGTCCCCCTGGCCCCCCAGGCCCATCAGGCGCAGCTGTGCCCCTGGCCCTGCAGAACGAGCCAACCTCAGCACCAGAGGCCAACGGTAAGTCTGAGCCGCCCCTCACACTGGGTGGGCAAGGCCCACAGTGTGCGCCCCCACACACACACCCTCCGCTGCCCCACTTACTTGGCAGTGAAAACCTGGTACGGGGCAGGCAGGCGGGCTCTGCTGTTTTCCCAGGCCCCATGGCCTCACCTAGGCACACGTGCTGTTCTATCTGATCCCCATCAGGTTCTCTAGCACGTGTTTGGTTTAGTCAAGTAGGCCCTCAGAAGACTAACCCATCACAAACATTTCCTTTATGGAAGCCTGAGGCTGGCCACCCCTGCCCCCCCGCCCCCGTCCCCTTTTATGCTCTCCACCCTGGGGATGGACCCCTCTTTGGTTAACTCTGTCAGCATGCAGATGGAACTTTCTGTTATTGACACCCAGATCTAATTTCTTTTTGAGAAGGCGTTAGTGTGTCTCGATGCCTTTGATAATTAAACTTTTGGCAAAACTCTGCACATTTTTTTAGCAGACAAGCCTATTTTTCTCTCCTTTGACCCACACTAGATTGTCTCTGCTGCTTGTCTCTGCTGCCCCAGGAGCATACTTTTGGGTCTAGGCTCTCACATCTCACTGTTTATGGGTTCCATATGATTCCAGATGACACTGACCATCTGTGTCTGCCCCTCTTTCTGTTGTCTTTGTTGTTGTTTCTGTTATTTCTGTCTAATAACTAATCCAGATGCAGAGGAACAAAGAGCCAGTCACAGATATTTTCCAGATTATGTGGTTTTAACTACCATGTGCTCTGCACTTCATTTCTCTGTACTGGTCTCTGCTCCTAGCGCATCAGTGGACCTCAGCCACAGGCTGCACACACGGACGGACGCGGGGGCTGCTGCTTGCCTGTGAGCAAAGCAGGGCCGTGGCTTTGGCCTCTTAACCGTATCTGAAGAAAGGCATGGTGCTTTGGGCATATTTTTAATCAATGCTTTAAATCTTTGCATTGCTAGGTTGCCCTCCTCACTGGAAGAACTTCACAGACAAATGCTACTATTTTTCGGTTGAGAAAGAAATTTTTGATGATGCCAAACTTTTTTGTGAAGACAAGTCTTCGCATCTCGTCTACATAAACACAAGAGAAGAACAGGTATGTTTGCAGCATACTGGGTTTGGGGAAAACTATAATTTAAAGATAGTTTACATCTGGAAATCGCATGATTACTGGGGACTCAAAGACATCAAGAATTCGTATTCACATAAACATTCCCAGAAGGGTCCATTATGAAGATTTGGGGGATATCCAGTGACTAGAGGAATGCATGGCATGGAAATTATGTCCTCATGCTTCCACCTGGAAGATACTGCTTATCAAGCCTGGAGATGTGTGGCTCTTCCCAGTGGCTGCTGGGAGAGCCAGAGCACAGAAGAGAAGCCTGTGAGTTAGTACCAGGCACCTGCAGAGAGAGAAGCAAGAGGCGTGATACCATAGGGGTGGGATGGGGTGCAAGGGACCAGACATATGGCCCCAGCAGGGTCAGAAAGAGCAGAGAAGGCCATGGAGGCAGAGCACACACATGATAATGATAGGGACCACTCATTAGGCGCTGTCATGGGTGGTGCAAACAGTGAACACACTTGCCTGCTAACCAAAAGGTTGGAGGTTTAAGACCACCCAGAGGCACTTGGGAAAAAAGGTCTGGCGATCTATTTCTAAAAAATCAGCCACTGAAGACCCTGCGGGGAAGTTCTACTCTGACACACGTGGGGTTGCCATGAGTCAGAATCAACTCAATGACAATTGGTTATGTGCCAGGTACTGTGTGAGGTATTTTCTCATTTAAACCTCACAACAACTCTAGAACACAGATACTATTATCCCTATTTTACAGATAAGAAAATGGAGGCCCAGCAAAGTTTAAGTGATTTACTCATGGCACAATAAGTAAATGCAGAGCTGAGACTGAAACTGAGGTCCATTTAATAACAATGCCAGTGCTCTTTCTTTAGTGCCACACTCTTCCAGTGATCATCTTCTTCTTCTCTAAGGAGTTCCAGGAGACACAGCCCTGCAAACAGATGCTTCCCACAGTAACCGACCAAGAATGAGCGCACAAAGGACAGTGGTCAGGCCCCTGGGCTTTAGAATATTCAGACCTGGGTCCAATCCCAGCTCAACCACTCAAACTATCTTTGTTTAAAAAAAAAAAAAAGAAAAAAACTAGTTGCTAACATTGAGTCAACGCCGACTCATGGCACATGTCTTAGAGTAGAACTGCGTTCTGTAGGGTTTTCAACAGCTGGTTTTTCAGAAATAGATTGCTAGGTCTTTCTTCAAGGTGCTTCTGGGTAGACTCAAACCTCCAACCTTCCCTTTAACCATCTGCACCACCTAGGGACTCCTATTATCTTTGTCATCTAGGTTGTTGTAAGGGCTGAAAGACACAATGCATACAGCACACCTGGCATGGTACCCGGTACAGAGTAAGAACTCCATGAAACCAAAAAAACCCATTGCCGCTGAGTTGACTCCGACTCATAGCAACCCTATAGGACAGAGTAGAACTACCCCAGAGGGTTTCCAAGGAGCAACTGGTGGATTTGAACTGACGACCTTTTGGTTATCAATTGAGCTGTTAGCCACTGCGCCTCCAGGGCTCCCAAAAAGCTCCGTAGTGACATGGTAATTACTATTATTAGAACACAGGAGAGATATGTGGTGGCCGGGAAATGAAGCCCAGTGGAATTCATTGAGTTATCTAAGTGATTAGAGGAGGAAGAGCACCACTTCAATATCACCTGTAAACTAAGAGGAAAAGATGCCAAAGCCCCCAAAACAGTGCAAAACAAGTGCAATGAGAAAGAGGACAGCAGGAACGGTGTCCATGTTCTGACACACATCATCTCTTAAATTGTCCTTTTTTCCAAATGTTTGTTTAAAAAAAAAGTCCCTGGGACATCTATTCCCAGAAATAATAATGCACCTTCACTAATTTATTTTTCAGCAATGGATAAAAAAACAGATAGTAGGGAAAGATAGCCACTGGATCGGCCTCACGGACTCAGAGCATGAAAACGAATGGAAGTGGCTGGACGGGACGTCTCCAGAATATAAGTGAGTGCTCAGCATCTTCCGCACTGGGGCACACACACTGCTTGCTCTGCGCCTCCTGCCCGACTGCCTACAGTTTCTTCCTTAATGATCTTATGTCCTAGGCACCGCTCTCACACTAACACTCCTGGGTACCAGTAAATGGTTCTGAGTTCTACGTAGGGAAATCATGGTTGAGTACCGATATGCCACAAAGTAGGTTTTTGGTGTGTTTTGTTTTGTTTCATGAAATGAAACTTTTTCATTTCAAAGAAAAAAATCATAAGAGATTCCTAAAACTACAATGTAGGGTACTTCTGGGTAAGGCATTTTCTTTAAATGCTACTATGGAGGATAACTCATTGCCGACGTTTTGGTTAGCAGCCAAGCTCTTAACCAGCCTTGGTGGCACAGTGGTTAAGAGCTCGGCTGCTAACCAAAAAGTTGGCAGTTCAAATCTACCAGGCACTCCTTGGAAACACTGTGGGGCAGTTCTACTCTGTCCTATAGGGTGGCTGTGAATCAGAATTGACTCACTGGCAACAGGTACGAAGGATAACAGGGCCCCAACAGCCTCAGGCAGGCAGAGTTTACCCCTGCAGTGTTTCTAAGAAGCCCTGGAAGTTCCCTTCAGGATGGCACAGTCAGTACCCCCATCCCTGCTCAGCTTCTGGCCAGAGTGTGATTTTGAGCTACAGGTTTGTGACGCTCCTACAAACTGGATATTCAAGCGGACCACAAACAAAGCTGCATTGAGATAACTGTCTCCTAACGGTGTTAACACGTCCTGGAAATTAGATGGGACCTGAGTTCTATAAAGGCAGCAACAAAGAATGGAAACAATTTGCATCACCTTCATGGAGCACGGGGGCACAGAGTCTCCATGAGCCTCATCCCTAGTCTTGTCTTAGTCTGCTGAGGCTGCTGTAAATGCTGCCAAGTGGGTGACTTTACAGAACAGAAATTTATCATCTCACAGTTCTGGAGCCTCAAAGTCCAGGTCACCGTGTCTGCAGGGCCATGCTGTCTCTGAAGGCTGAAGGTGAAGAGTCTTCCTTGTCTTTTCCAGCTTGTGGTTGCCTCGGGTGTTTCTCAGCTTGCAGATGCAGCTCACACGGCATCTGTCTTCCCCCATGTGTCTCTGTGTCTGTCTGTTCTCCCGTTTTAAAAGACACCACTCAGAAGGGATTAGGACCTACCCTCTTCCAGTATGACCTCAGTAACTTCACTGATAACACCTTCAATGAAAGAATCTATTTCCAAATAAGGTACAAGGGCTGGGGCTTCAACATATCTTTTTGGAGGATGCAGTTCAATCCATAACACTACCCCAGGGTCTAAAGACGACTAAACTGTACCAGTTTGAATTTCACTTCTTCCTCCTCCTGCTTTGCCTCTCATGGTGTAAAAATATGCCTCCCAAAATGCCCCAAATTGAGCAGAATGTATACAAGCCCTCTTCTGAATAGCCTTTAGTGTACATGACACGGAGAAGCAGGCCCTGCAGTGCAGCCTCAGAAAGAATTTTTTGAGCGTGGACAGAGACCTGCAAAGGGCAAGCAGCTCACTGTCGGGTGCTATTCCCAACCCTGGGACAGAAAACGTGGTGTTTCGGGTCTAAGACAATGTCATGATGCAGAAGCATAGATCTGTATCCGCCCGGGAGCAAGGAGTAGGGACCCAGGGGTGACTGACAGGTCAGATGGGCTTTCAGACGAGTTTCTGTGCGCATGTGTGTGCTGTGCACGTGGGTAGGCAAACAGGCAGGTGTGAACTTTCACATCCTCAATTTGAAGAGTGTGATTAGAGGATGTAGATGGAAACCTGATTAAGGTGATCTCATTTAAAAAAAAAGTGGCCAAACATTGAGGTGGAACATTTGAAGATTTTAGATCTGCTCCACAGGTGGGCTCAGACTGCCCCGCGGGCAAGGGGGTACCCGCCTGCGGATTTGATGGAGACGGTTCTCCATGTGCTTCTTCTGGGGAGAGGAGGCTTCACCCCAGCTGGCACCTTGGGGATTTGCCTGAGCTGCCCAAGGAGAGGCCCAGCACGGCAGGGATGCCCCTCCAGAGAACAGTCGTGAGTTAACATCTAAAGTGTGAGCAGCAGAGTGTCAGAGCTGGGGGTGACAGGCAGAGGTTATTAAAAATAAAAGGTAAATCTGTTTTTTTGATAGTCAAGAGTATTAAGATCTTCTTTTTAAAGCAAGGCAGCTAAAAAAAAAAAAATCAGTCTCCTCCACTTTTCTTAAATGCAAACAAGGTCTGGGTTAGACTCACTGAGAAATTCAGTGTTAAGCCTTCCTCCAAGAAAACACTCTGTTGGCCCATATGGGATGGATTGAGCCAGAACATCATAGTCTGTGCCAGCTCTCCCAAGATGAAATTTTCCGCCTCTTCCCTGGGCTCCAGCAAGAATTATGGGATGTGATTTTAGAGGATCATGCCAGCAGTGGGACCCGGAGACCTGGGACCCTGAGAAGGACTGAATCACGAGATGCCTTGTTTGGAACTGAGTCCCCAGACACGGCCCCTCCCTCTGAGTTCTCCCCAGAGCCTTGGCTTCAGCACTCAACCATAGCACTGGCCCTGCGTCTCATCTTCCACAGAAAGGAACACATGTCATATCCAAAACTGAAGGATCAAACTTTAAAAGCAAGAATAAATTAGGCAGACATATTATGAAGACTCAATAACTGAAGGCTAATTTAATTTGACATATAATAATAAACATGGCACAAACTAGACAAAGCCAGTGCAGGCACATGGAGAGAGCACAGGCTCCGGGGTCAGTGAGATCTAGGTTCAAGGCCTTGACCCAGCACTGAACAGCTGCGTGACCTGGTCACAGCTGCATGACCACGCAAAATCTCCATGTGCTCATCGATGAAATGACTATCACAAAAGTCCCTACCTCAGTTCTGTGAAAATTAAATGAGATAGTATATATGTGAAGCATTTAGTACAGTGCCTGGCACATGGGAAGTTCTTGAAAAATGTTACCTCCTAGAATTCTTGTTGGAGCCCTGGTGACATGGTGGTTGAGAGCTATGGCTGCTAAGCAAAAGGTCAGTAGTTCAAATCCACCACTCCTTGTAAACCCTATGGAGCAGTTCTTCTCTGTCCTATAGAGTCGCTGTGAGTTGGAATTGATTCGATGGCAACGGGTTGGTAGTATTCCTATTATTATTACTATTATTGTCATAATCATAAGTATTATAAGAGTAACTGCAGAATAATAAACCAAAAGAATAAAACCAAACCTGTTGCTGTCAGGTCGATTCTGACTTATGGCGATCCCATGTGCTACAGAATAGAACTGTTCCATAGGATTTTTTTGGCTGTTATCTTTACGGAAGCAGATTGTCAAGCCTTTCTTCCATGGTGCCACTGGGTGGGTTCAAACCACCAACCTTTAGGTTAGTAGTCAAGTGCAAACTGTTTGTGCTACCCGGAGACCTGCAGAATAATACTACCTAGCATTTATGTATTTTACAGTGTACTGATTGAGAGATCACACACAGGTCTCACAACAGGTTGTGAAAAAGACAAGAAAAATATTCTCTGCCATGACCTAGGGCAGAGACCCAAGCCATGGGGACTGGACTTCAGGCTCCCAGAGGTCCCTGACCAGTATAAATATCCCCAAAAACTCTCCCACCTACTCAGACTCACCTTTGCCCTCCTCCTCTGTTCTTCTGTGGCCGCCAGGCATTGGCCCATCCACCTTCCTCCCACTGCTCCAGCAGTGGTTTCTGGACCTGGTCCCTCCCCATGCCTTGCTGCATGAATGTGACAGAGGAATTAAGCTTCACAGCTTTCCTCTGACCGTTTTGTCACCAATGCACACACAGCCCTTTTGAAATTGTTTATGGTTTTTGTGGTTACTAATAAAAAGGATATAGATGAGGGATCAAAGGCTCTCTCCTCTGCCTCTTGTCCCCTCTCCTTTTTTATGATGAGAGCTGCTTGAGAAAGACAGTGCTTGGACAAGCAAACAAAAGGCCGTGGTGACATGGAATAGATGCCAAGGGCCTTAGGGGGCACCCAAGACCCGAACTAAGGCTTATCCCCAGTGAAGCATATGCCTGACTCAATGAATCTCGCAGCAGTTTTTCCATTGAAGCAGGATAGGCTGGTTGGAGAAAAGACAGGTGTGAGTTGTAATCTGTGCTAGGCTCAGGATGAGGCTCTGGACAAGGTTCCCAGGTGCTTTTTATCCACAGCCCAATCAATTTTCAAAGAAAAACTGGAGGGCTGACATAGCTTGCCAAGATTTCACTTGCCAATTAAGAAAACCCCAGTAGTCCTTTCCAAGGAAAGAAAGCTGGTCATCTTACAGGCACACATACTGTCCTGATGTTGCTCAGTTCACCACAGACCTGTAAAAACTTTCTCCTGGGCCCACATTAGTCCTCTGTCTGCAGGTTCGATCTCTTCACCCCCTTGATAACATTGGGTGACTTATTGTCGAATGTCTGCTGTGGGCCAGTCTCCGTGCTGGCTGGAGGATCTAGACTAGAGAGAGAGGTGTTGTCCTAGTTCTCATACAAAAAGTATGGTTTCCAGGACCACATGACAGTCAAGAGGACACAACAATCCTAAATGCATGTACACGAAATAGCACAGCTTCAAAGTACTTGAAAGAGAAACTGAGAGAACAGAAAGAAGAAATAGCCAAATTCACAATTATACTTGGAGATTTCAGCATTCTTCTCTCAATAATTGATAGAAAAAGTAGATAGAAAAATCAATAGGAATGTAGTAGACTTAACACTATCAACTAACTTGACTTAATCGATTATGGAACATTTCACCCAACAACCATGAATTTACATTCTTTTCAAGTGCATATGATACATTTACCAAGATAAATGATACACTGGACCATATAACAAGTCTCAATAAATGTAAAAGAATTGAAATTATATAGAGTATGTTCTCTGATCACAACAGAATTAAATTAGAAATCAATAACAGAAGGATATCTGGAAAATTCACCAAGTATTTGGAAATCAAATG